CGATAGCTGAAATAATCTGTAATGATAACTATAACGATAATTAATATCTACTATAACAATAACTATAGTAATAGCGATAGCTGAAATAATCTGTAATGATAACTATAACGATAATTAATATCTACTATAACAATAACTATAGTAATAGCGATAGCTGAAATAATCTGTAATGATAACTATAACGATAATTAATATCTACTATAACAATAACTATAGTAATAGCGATAGCTGAAATAATCTGTAATGATAACTATAACGATAATTAATATCTACTATAACAATAACTATAGTAATAGCGATAGCTGAAATAATCTGTAATGATAACTATAACGATAATTAATATCTACTATAACAATAACTATAGTAATAGCGATAGCTGAAATAATTATAATGATAGCAATAATTATAAGGATAACTATAACGATAATTAATATCTACTATAACGATAACTATAGTAATAGCGCTAACTGAAATAATTATAAGGATAACTATAATGGTAACTGCAAAAATAAATAAAATACCTATGATGATAACTAACTATAACAATAACGATAACTAAAATATTATAATGATAACGATAACTACAATGATAACTAATAACATAACATTTTTAATAATTACTCAAACTCTAAGAGAGTACTTTCGTGATATAGTTTTAATAATCGCTATAACAATAGTAACTATAACAATGATAATGACTATAATAACAATAAATGTATGAATCAACTTTAATAATCAACACAATTTTACCTAAACATTAACTATAATGAAACTATAATAATAGAAATAACTGTAACAATAACTATAACCATACAGTTAGTTTTAATAATCGCTCTACTTTCAGGAGAATAGTGAACTCCACACCACAACATAACGAAAACAGTAGAGACGAATGATATCGATAGAATCGTTTCGAGGGTTTTTTTGTTCAAGCTGATGAACGATAAAAACTTTGACAGCCAATCAGAATGCAGCCTGCTTTTTTTTGGTGTGGAGACTAATATTGCTATCGTCATAGTTATGATGATAGCTAATATTATAATTATTATTATTACGACTTCAAGCTCATAAAGCAACTTCTTAGGAGGACTTCTAAAGTCTTCTAAAGAGCCTGATAACTAAATACAACATCTACGAGAACTTGAAGACAGCGTGTTCCTTTCATAAGTGTCCTACAGAGAAAGCAGATGACTTCAGTTACTCAAACACACCTCAGAAACACAACCAGCCACTTACTTTTAACAAGGTTTGGGAAAGCCGTCTGAATTCATAGTGACTTTGAACATTTAACAGAGAGAGCAGAAGAACACTGAACACTGAAAGACATAAACACTGAATATCTAAAAGCATCTGAATATGAACGCTCATGAACATAATTCCCATCTCAGTGTTTCTTCGGCAAAGGCTTTACTGCTATTTACTGTGTGGCAGGGAAAGACACATCAGCATCTCATAATCTGCCAAACAGATGCTGGAAACATGATCATCTGAAGAGCAAACACACACTGAACCTGATGCACACGACACAAAACAACCTGCAGGCATCACAAACACTCACAGCACAAACACAACGACAGAAAAACACACACACACTCACACACACACACACACACACACACACACACTCTCACATACACATACACACACACACACACACACACACACACACACACACACACACACACACACACACACACACACACACACACACACACACACACACACACACGCACACTCACACACACACACACACAGTCACACTCACTCTCACACTCACACACACAGGCACACTCACACAGTCACACACACACACACACACACACACACGCACACAGTCACACACACACAGTCACACTCACTCTCACACACACACACGCACACGCGCACACACACACACAGTCACACTCACTCTCACACACTCACTCACTCACTTACTCACTCACACACACACACACACACCTCTAGTATGACACACTCCTCCTCAGCAGTATTTTTATCCCTCTCAGCAGGTGTGATGCGAGCGCTGAGCGCTGCTCTCTGATTGGATGAGACGTGGCAGCAGCTGTTACACACGTATGAATCAATCTATAAGTGCATACACACACACACACACGCACACACACATGCTCAGGTGTCACTTGGGCCTATTCCTCTTTCATTAAACACACTCTCGAGGCTCAGCACTACAAAAACAAGTCCTGGCGCTGTGTTAACGGCCGCTAACAGCTCTTACACCACTGATAGAGAGATGATCCGCGCTGGCCATCTGACCCTTGACCCTCACAGACACAAAGAGCAGCTGAACTGCATGTAAATCAGGGCTCAACAATGAGGATGTCCTGATGCCCGGGGCCACTGAGGGCCAGTGTATCCACTGCACCAGTGCTAAATCTCAACATTTGATGTGTTACATGTTTTTATGTCTTACAGACTTACACAATCGGTCTTGGATACTTTGAATTATTGAGCCCTGTAAAATAAAGAGATGTTTAAACATCACTGACTGAGCGAGCGTTTCTGTCAGCACCATTAAAACTCTACAAAACAGACCTAGTCCTGCAGTTTTGTCTCATATTAATTGGCTTGTAATGCATCTTTTCTGTCAGAATGAACAAAACTCATGAATGCAGCGGAGCGTGTTTCTCCAGCGGCCGTCCATCAGGCCACAGTCACGCAATCACGTGAAGACCGATCGCTGCACATTCTTGACTAGCAATTAATGTGCACTACACTGGATCTGCTTCCATGTCAAATAACCTGAAGCAAATGGAGACAGATCTGCTAAACCAAAATCCATTCACTCGCTCATTTATTAATACCGAGCCACTGCATGTTGGAGCAAAGGTCATGTATTATACATCACTGCCGACCTACAAATGCACAGATGTCACGCAAGCGTTCAGTCCTACAAAACAAGCACATTGAAAATAGTGGTTGACCGATATATTGCCAAGGCCGATATATCGGCCGATATTTGACATTTTTCAAATATCGGCATCGGCCGATAAGTTTATCTGTTTGGCCGATGTGTCCGAGGCGGGACTTTTATTTTGACGGCTCTGAAAACGACAGCACACAGCGCTCACACTTATTGTCTGCTGTCATAATTTAAGAGTTCTTTCTAATAGGAATAGAAGTCTGTCTAATAATCAGATAGGATTATAAACAAAGGAATTAAAAGCTATACAAAAAAAGTACTATAATGATTGCTTTTATATTATTAGTAATAGAAAGGCAAACGTAATACTTTCTTGTTTACCCAGCATTTAGCAAATACACGTTTAGATCATTTAAACAGATCTTTGAATGTCTGATAAGCATTTAATTTCACAAACCTTGCAGACTTAGCTGTGAGATCTTATAAAGTGCGCGTTTGTATCCTGCATGATCGCGTGTTTTCTGTGTGACGGTCGGTCCGTGCGAATTCAGCTTAATTTACACATTTATCATTTTCAAATTTCTTAAAATATTAATTAGAATTAATAAAAATGATATATATACCGTATTGGCCTGAATATAAGACGACCCCCCTTTTTTCAGATGTACCTTTTGGAAAAAGGCTTTTAAAAAAAGAAATCTTGTTTTTTCTCAGTAAAACACATTTTGTCTTCAATTATTTTCATATGGCATATTTTTCCTATTTTAATTTTTGTTTTGAAAGTATGGTAAAAACTGGTCAAATGTACCAACAATCACATTTAAAAAATATACACTTTTTGATATACCATTAAAAAAAACAAAAAAACAGGTAGCCCATCTGAATTAGGACATTTAGGCTATCCATCTAATAGTAGGTTGCTCGGAGGCAGTGTCAGCAGCGGCAATCCACCTGTCACTCAAGTGGCCACGCCCTTAATTATGCAGAACTTTAAGGCTTAAAATAATTTAAAAGGATGAGTTATTAAAAAATGAACCCCCCTCACAGTTGTCATGAAGGGCAAAATTAGCTATATAGACCAAAATAATTTTTTTGAACCAGGCTGTAAACATGTTTTTTTCTGCTGTAAAGTTGGGCATTTTAACATGGGGTGTCTATGGGACTGACTCTCTTTTGCAGCCAGCCTCTAGCGGCCAGTCGATGAATTACAGTTTAAGTCACTTTCTTGTTGGCTTCACGAGAGAGAGCGGGAGGTTGCCGCTTGATTACATTACGTATTTCATGGCACACTCGTTTTATGCGTATTTGGCGCCACCTATTGTTGTGGGTGTATTATTGACATGTCAAAGTCTAGACCCTGAATATAAGACGACCGCGTTTTTTCAGATGTATTTCCAAGAAAAAAACATTGTCTTATATTCGGGTCAATACGGTATATCGGTTTAATATCAGCCACCCTGCTCTCTAATGGTGCTTTTCCACTGCGTGGTACGACTCGGCTCGGTACGGCAAGGCACGGTTCGGCTCGGCACGGTTTGCGTTTCCACAGCAGTTTAGTACTGCTTTAGAGTGGGCGGGATTATTTACATGTCGTTATAGTTGCCCCGCCTATACTACCACGACTCCTAAAAAAAACTTTTTCATTCCGTGTCGCCCCATCGTGCTCTCGCTGGATCCGCTCCTCTGCTATCAACGAGAGGAACGTCTGTTCTTCCGCAACAGACAACAAAACTTTTTGGTTGTTAAAAAAAAGGTGCGCTCGTTCAAAACAGTTGCGTTCGATCCTTCGCTGGCTGTGCTGATTTAAATCTAGCGGTTCTTTTGTGTTTATGTCGCAAGTTCAGTGACGCAGGTAGTGACGATTCTCTCCGGCCAATCCGTGATCAGCAGAGTTTACACGTCACGTTTTGTTAACGGTACGGTTCACTTGGAACCCCAACTGAGGTGGTACTAAAAAAAGTACCAGGTACTGTACCCAGTGGAAAACCCCCCAAAAGTGAACCGTACCGAGCCGTACCGCGCCGTACCATGCAGTGGAAAAGCACCATAAGATACTGGCATCGGCTCTCAAAAAACCAATATCGGTCGACCACTAATTGAAAGATCTGAAGCAGGTTCTTACCCGAGACGGAGATCTTCATGGACGCCTCCAGCGGTCTGTTGTTGTCCAGGGCTCGGCTGAGTCGGATCTCTCCGGTGCTCTGGTTCAGAAGCACCAAATTCAGCTCGTTTCCAGCCTGGAAGCTGTAGTGGAGCTGATCGGAGATGTCCGGGTCGTGAGCCGGGATCCGGCCAATCACACCCGACGGGAAGCTGTTGGTCTTATCGGTTACGTAGTTGTTAAATATAATCTGGAAGTTCTTGAGGACGGGGACGTTGTCGTTCTTGTCGATGAGTTTGATGTGGACCGTGGCTCTGCTGACCAGCGGCGCAGACGTGGCTTGAACTACGATGATATACTCCGAACGCGTCTCGTAGTCAAGGTCGGTCAGAGCGGTGAGCTCGCCGGAGAAGATGTCCAGTTGGAAGACCTCAGGGATGTTGCCTTCGACGATCTGGTACATGATTTGAGCGTTGCTGCCTTCATCTGGGTCTGACGCAGATATGTGGGCCACCACGAGCCCGATGGGACTGTTCTCTTCTACGAAGATATCAAACTCATCTTTCTCGAACACAGGCGGGTTGTCATTTACGTCTAAAACGGTCACCTGGATATCAACCGGCGTCTTGAGCGGCGGAACACCTTTATCCACCGCGAAGGCTTGGAGGTTATAAACGGGCGTGTTTTCTCGGTCAAGGCGTCGCAGGGTTCGTACGATCCCCGACGTGGACTCGATGATGAAGTCTCCATCTCCGTCTTCTCCGCCCTGGAACGTGTAGAAGACGCGTCCGTTGAGGCCCGAGTCTCGGTCGGTCGCGGACACCTGCAGGACGCTGGTGAAGGTGGGAATGTCCTCCAAGACTGAGCCCAAGTAACGGTCACGAAGGAACACGGGCGAGTTGTCGTTCACGTCGTTCACCAGGATCTCCAAGTAAGTGGTGTCGGATTTCTGCGGGATGCCGTTGTCTCGAGCCGTGATGGCGAGCGTGTAAGAAACTTGATCTTCGTAGTCCAGCTCCATCTGCGTGGTTACCGCACCGCTATCCGGGTCGATGTTAAACTGCGGGATGCTGTCATCCATGAAGTACGTGATTCGAGCGTTCTCGCCCGTGTCCTCGTCCGTTGCGCTAATCATCACTACGATCGTCCCGACAGGCCGGTCTTCGTTGATGTTGACCGTGTAATGCGAGCTCTGGAAAACCGGCCTGTGCGTGTTAGCGTCCGTTACGTTAACGTAAACCTTAGCGGTGTCGAAGCGCGTGCCGTCAGACGCCGTTACGGTGAGGACGTACTGTCTTTCCAGTTTATAGTCCAACGGTAGCGCGAGTGTAATCAGGCCTCCGCCGCTCTGGCTAGTGATGGAAAAACGGTTTCTCGTATTCCCAGTCGAGATCTGATACGTAATAACGCCGTTAATATCCTGATCGATGGCGGACACGGTGACGACGCTCGTTCCTACAGCCGCGTCCTCGTTCAGACGCATGTAGTAGGCCTTTTGTGTGAACTCAGGGTTGTTGTCGTTGACGTCTAGAATAGTCATGCTGATGCTAGCGGACGAGGACATGGGTGGCGTTCCGTGGTCTCGCGCCTCCACTCCGAAGCTATAGAAGTCCACGCTTTCTCTGTCCAGTTCCGATGCTACGACGATCCAGCCGGTGCTGTTGTTGATGGTGAACGGGAAGTTGGGCGTGGTCTCTGTGAGATGATATTCCAAACGGGAATTATCTCCCGCATCGGCGTCTACGGCTTGAATATGAATGACGGAATATCCAACTGGAACGTTCTCCAGCACTGTAGCTTGGAAAGGAGTGCTTACGAATATCGGAGCGTTGTCGTTAACGTCCAGTACTTGCACTGTGATGAGACCGCTGATGTTGGAGAGTGGCGGGCGTCCACCATCTTGCGCTCGAATGCGAAGCGTGTACTCTTTATTCATCTCGTAATCCAGCTGGCTCACCAAATCTAATTTTCCCGTTTGGGCATCGATGTAAAACTGGCCCCTTGTGTTGCCGCTCATTATGCTAAAATGGACAACGGCATTGTTCCCGCGGTCCTGGTCTGTCGCCGTCACCTGCAGGATTTCAGTGTTGGGCGACAAGTCTTCGGGAACCTTAACGACATAGCGTTTCTCGCTGAACTGCGGCGCGTTGTCGTTATCGTCCTCCACGATGATGTGGACGGTCGCCGTTGCACTTCGGGGGCCGGGATCCCGTCCTTGGTCGTTGGCTTCGACTAGAAGCACATAGGATTCGACCGTTTCACGGTCAACCAGTCCTCGCGTGCGAATAACGCCAGACCGGGAATCGATCTCAAAAACATCGTTAGTCCCATTGTTGTTGTTCAGCAAATGATAAAGGATGTTTCCGTTAACGGGAGCGTCACCATCCGTGGCGCGCACAGTTAGAACCTCGTAACCAATCTCCAGATTCTCACGTACGCTTTCTTTATAATCCTGCTGCTCAAATACGGGGTCGTGATCGTTCGTATCGCTAACCGTTACAGTAAGAGTGGCCATTGCCGTACGTCGTGGCGTTCCACGATCAACCGCCGTGACCCTAAAAACATGCATGTCCTTAGTTTCTCTATCTAGTATCTCCACGGTGGAAACGACTCCGCTTGACGAGTCGACGGTGAAGAGATTGTTGGAGCGACTATCAAACAATGCCTCTAAGAAATATTCCAGCCTTCCAGCTTCACCCTCATCCGGGTCAACTGCTTTTAAAACAACAACAAAAGTCCCAGCTGGTTGATTCTCCGCAACGGACACCTGATACATGGGAGGCTGGAACTGAGGGTTATTGTTGACGTTCCTCTTCCTTCTGCTCAGCAGACCCGAGTTCGAACCCGCGGCCCGCTGCAGTAACTTCCTCAGGTGCGCTTGCGTGAAAGGGCCGCGGCCCACGCGCCAATGCGCATGCGCGAAACCACGACGTGCGCCTCTTTCGCAGCGCAGCGTAAACTCCAGCAACGAGTCGCGAGTGAAACACAGCGGAGCGGAAGTGAACAGCATCCCTTTGGAGATATAAAGCGCTGAAGTCCCCCTTTGCTCCTGTTAACAAACGTTGTTTTTCACAAGACTCACCGGCGCATGTGCAACACTGAACTCATACGTCTTCCGCCCGGAACTGCTTCCATGTACAACTGTTGGCGCAAGCTACATTACAGTGATTATTACGTTTTGAATATGGACATTTTTCTTACAAAAAACGCATCGATTCGCTACAGGAGGCCTTTGTTCACCCCCCAGAGCCATGTGAGACACTGTTTTTTATGGATGGGCACTTTTTATCCCGTCCTTGGTCGTTGGCTTCGACTAGAAGCACATAGGATTCGACCGTTTCACGGTCAACCAGTCCTCGCGTGCGAATAACGCCAGACCGGGAATCGATCTCAAAAACATCGTTAGTCCCATTGTTGTTGTTCAGCAAATGATAAAGGATGTTTCCGTTAACGGGAGCGTCACCATCCGTGGCGCGCACAGTTAGAACCTCGTAACCAATCTCCAGATTCTCACGTACGCTTTCTTTATAATCCTGCTGCTCAAATACGGGGTCGTGATCGTTCGTATCGCTAACCGTTACAGTAAGAGTGGCCATTGCCGTACGTCGTGGCGTTCCACGATCAACCGCCGTGACCCTAAAAACATGCATGTCCTTAGTTTCTCTATCTAGTATCTCCACGGTGGAAACGACTCCGCTTGACGAGTCGACGGTGAAGAGATTGTTGGAGCGACTATCAAACAATGCCTCTAAGAAATATTCCAGCCTTCCAGCTTCACCCTCATCCGGGTCAACTGCTTTTAAAACAACAACAAAAGTCCCGGCTGGTTGATTCTCCGCAACGGACACCTGATACATGGGAGGCTGGAACTGAGGGTTATTGTTGACGTTCCTCTTCCTTCTGCTCAGCAGACCCGAGTTCGAACCCGCGGCCCGCTGCAGTAACTTCCTCAGGTGCGCTTGCGTGAAAGGGCCGCGGCCCACGCGCCAATGCGCATGCGCGAAACCACGACGTGCGCCTCTTTCGCAGCGCAGCGTAAACTCCAGCAACGAGTCGCGAGTGAAACACAGCGGAGCGGAAGTGAACAGCATCCCTTTGGAGATATAAAGCGCTGAAGTCCCGGTTACGTTACAGTCGCCCGGTAACACACCAAACACCCGGAAAACAGCAGTGTTCGCCTGGCGGCACTTTGAAGTCGCGTCTGTTAAACTTATAATCTCCACGTCCAGGTTATTCGATTCCCGTTTGCGTTCCCTCGCGCAGTTCTTCCCGTGTACGTGCACATCATACCGACTCGTTACGAGGTGTCTAAAACCGGACGCGTTATCCAAACACTCCGCGACCGCGTACACGCTGAACGGGTTCAGAAGAACCGAGTCGCAGTTCAAAGCGTCAGAAAGAGTCAGAACACCCGCATCCGGGCGCAGGAGACTCCGGGCGAAGCGCGGCGTGATGAGCTGCTCCAGCGCGCAAGCGGCGCTTCGCTCCAGACCGGCGATCGCGCTGCCCTTTCCCGCATTCTCACTCACGTGAACAACGAAGCAATCCACGAGCCACGGGAGTTTGAGCCACCCCAAAACAAAGAGCAACAAGCCCCGCTTCATCGCTCCTCGGTGCATGCTGCGAATGAATTAAAGCCAGTTTTTCTCCGCAAAGTTGGCGTGCGGAGTCTCCATGCTGATCCACACACACACACACCTCCAGTGAGCAGGGATCGAGTCTGGGGAGGGGATCATTAACATAAACCTGATTCACAGAGAAAGGGAGAGGGGGCAGATCTTAAAAGGGCAACTGCAATTGCCCCAAAACAACCGGCCAGTGCTGCGCATTCAGATCAATTAAAGACGCGTATCTATGGAAAAGTCACATATTTTGGTTCTGCCCTGCTGAAAAAACAACCATCACACAGATTCTAATAGTTTCCACTACAAATACCATTACAAACCATCAACTTTCAACCATTAAAACCATTAAAACTAGTTCTCTGTAGTGTGTTTTGGGACATATTCCATTAGGGTGTATTGGTTTTAACAAGCTACCAATAGAAGGTGAACAATTAGTCCCAGTATAAACCATTACACATTCTGTGTGTTTTTTTAATCGTTGTCTTCTGGTGAGAGAACGCTCTCATGATTTTCTCATTTGGTTCCCAAAATACAACCAAGCAGGAAGGAAAATCTCCAAATAGCACTAACTATAAACTAAAATTAAATATTTATGGTCATAGTTTGGTTGAGTTGTTTCTTCTGCTTAGCTATGTAAACAAAATACTCGTTTATGAATGCACAAATACAAGTCATGCATTCGAAACCCGCAGTAAAACGAGCATTATTTCGGGCACCAGTGAGAGAGGTTTGTGCGTAAAGCCAGAGTGAGCTGGAGACATGCGGCTTTTAAGCTCCAGAAGTGTTGTTCTGGCGCCCTCTGCTGGCCGGAGCGCGTCGGCGCATGTCCCTTCTTCCGTTCACCTCACAGAAAGCTGGGGTTTCATTGTGTTTGTCTGTTGTACATAATCACATTTAAATACCAATACGTTTATATGTACACATATTTGGAGTATTTAAATGAACAGCTGCACCGGTCTTGTGAAGTGCGCGTGCGTTTGCTCACCGCTAGAGGGAGGAAGACCCTGGATCAAAGTAAACACGTTTCCCTGTAAATCATCTACTCAGTCTTTACATTACTGACTAATGCTACATATGACTTATGGTTTAACACCAGCGTTTAGTAAATCCGATTAATATTTTACTTCACGTATCATAAAGTTCTCACATATATTAGCAAATGTTCTAATCTGCCCAGCAACTCGCACGATTTTTTTCTGAGAATAAAAATAGACAAAGTCGCAAAAGTTTTTTTTTATATATATATAATAATAATAATAATAAATAAATAGCAGGAGTAATTGGTAGTAAAGAATCAATAAATAAATACGATACGAACATCCTTATAGCTCTTTTGTAACATAAATTGGATTTGTTTATTTTGTTTCCTTATACTCCCATACAATAATTAACATGTGAGAGAACGATACCATAGATAATGAACTCTGATTCTGCTTTTATATAACACTACAGTTGATTTCGACATTATTAATGTTTTCCAACATGATTTATCAATTACACCCAAACATTTTACTGACACCTATTTTATTTTTTTAATCCACATTTCTCACATTATTAACGGTTTGCTGATTATAAAATAATATACACTTTGTTTTACTAAAACTCAGTAAGAACCTGTTAGCATCTCATCAAAACATAAGACGACTTTCAATACTCTAGACACCTTACAAATGTCATTTATATACAGTACAAACCATTTAGGGCCTAACACCGAACCTTGTGGTACACCACAAGTAACCTTCAATAAATCACGATTCATGCTAACATATTGATATCTATCCTCAAGATACCTTCCATAACCATGAATAAGCTAGCCCTCTTACACCATATCTTTCTAATTTCATCAATAGTAAGCCATGATCAATTGTTTCGAAAGATTTTTAAAAAGCTTCCGTGTATATAAAGATTTGTCTCACTGCGTCTAGATGACCAAATCTGTAAATCTCCCCTCGACAACCACAAACAGATTTATGTGACTATTCATTCCACTAAGATTAATATGGCTACTTAGAAAATGAATAACGGTTCATGAAATATTGATTACGTGTAACTGATTATGTGAGAAGAGAGTGATCGTGATATGACCCGTGAGAAAACCAGAAAACGTTTTATACAAACACAAAGCACGCAGGCTCAGTTTTTCCTGTTTTTATTGTTGCTGGAGGCCCTAATACAACATAAACTGTAAGCTTTACAAAAAACAAAAAAAATAAAGACCAAAAGAAAACTCGACAAATAATAATCCACCCCGAAGAAAACAACGAAGCCGTCTGACGCTCCCAGATGGACAGAGAGGGGAATGTGTTTGCTGCTTCACACGTTACACACACTCGTCTGCGTGGACTCGAGCAGAAAGTTTAATATTACCAGCAAGACAATGGTCATAATACATACATACGTGTGTATATTTATATATATATTTATATAATCACCCGCTCCTCGTTTATTCCTGACACGCGTATGCGACGGGTGAGACTACAAGAAAACTTGTTCTTCTGATGGTGGGAGAAAAGCTCCGCCCCCACTGCGATGATGTCACCGAGAGCCAATCAGACGCTGTCTTAATACAACATGATTACAGACCAGAGAGAGAGAGAGAGA